TGGGGACTGCTACTCTGTAATTGGATGAGATGCAGGTTTAGCCAGCGATTAAAGCATTGCTTTGAAAACTGGAAACATCATTTCTGTGATCTAAGCAGATTTTTGTCCTTGTTCTCTCTGCATGAAGCATGTACGATGCTCCCCAGCCTCATGAGGGTGAGACTGAGTTATTGCCTGTCCAGTTTTGAGACTGTGGAGACAAGAAAGAATGTGAACTTTTACCAAGACTCAGTAATAGCCCGATGACCAGGAAACTTCTGTTGGAGGTGAAAGGCTATATTTAAAGTTTCTCTACCTCTTAACTTTAACACTGCATGACTTTACAGAACTATGTTTCACACAGTCCTTAATCACAAGAGCTTTATACTACTGTAAACCTCAAAATGGATCCCTTCTTATACAGGTTTGAGAGCTTGATTTGATGCCTCTTAACTTAGACTCAAAGCAAGTACCTTCACTAAGACAACAAAATGTCCCTCCTGGCTGACATTCTAGGCCCAGTGCCCACCAATTTGTTTCCTACTGATTCTGCCAGCTTTGGGCTGCTAAGCACAAGTATTTGTGAGTCATTTCTGGGAGGCAGAAAGTCAGGCATTCTTGGAGCAACGAGAGCAGGAGGTATGACAGGAAGAAAGGAGTGAGATTTCACTGAAGAGCCCATCACAAATAGTGCAAGAATGACGGTTCTCTGTCGCCGCTGCAGATTCCCTTATCCGGGCGCGCTAAGCGGTGGAGCCTGTCGACACCTCTGCCTCGCGCCCTGCGCGGCGCTCAGCCGCCTGCAGATACAGAGTGGCTTGAACAAGTTCCAGTGCTCTCTCCCGGAGCTTCCCAAGACCCTCCGCACGGCTCCGGCGGGCAGCGGGTGACATCACTACGGACGGACAGCCATGTAGGCGCTTCCTGTGTCACATTCCTCGCTGAAGAGCCTCTTGCCAAATCTTGGCTGTTCTGTGCAGTCTTTTTAGGAACAAATGGTCTAATTTTAGCCTGACAGCCACAAACACCTTCCTGAAATAGACTCTGACTCTCTCTTACCTTGTGCATGTTCTTCAGAGTTTAAAAACAGAATCCCTAGTCCTTGGGGTTCACAGCTAAGGCCTTGGTCAGCCTAAATTTGGGCAGTGAGAAATACTGAGCAGTGTCCTGGGGAAGCTGCTGTCACTGTTTGGCCCATAGTGAGCTGAGTAGGGACAGGAATGTTCCAGAGAAGCTCAGGTGATGGCTTGTCACAAAGTTGCATGGATCTGGTCCAGTCTGAATGAACTGTCCTTTGTTTCAAGGACTTTGAATTTTCTATTGAACTTTCTGTTTTCTGGATTAGTCACAACAAAAAATGATGTTTAGCAGTACAGTGAAGGGACTTATCCAGTGCCCTTTGTGATCTGTGTAGAATAGCAACTCTAATCCTTGTCCTTCCTTTCCAGGGCCTAAGTAGTTGAGTGCTGGCCTGGAAGTCAACAAACCATGGTTCTGATCCCTTAGCAAAATTGGTTTGTATCTGTCTGTGCTGGCCTTAAAGGCCATGGGCAGCTTTGACCTGCTTTGAGAAGAACGGATGGAAACTACTTATAGAACAGTTAGGAATTACTGTGAGGTGAGGGCAAGGAGCTCCAAGCACGCAAAATCAATGTTTTTTTATACTCCTACCCTTTGCTGTTTTCCTGAGCCTGAATATGAAAGCTCTTGCATTGAAGGAACAATTCTAGCCAAAGTTGCTGTTTTTAATTAGCAGAAAGTAAAGAGCCGTGTCTTTAAAGAGCTCTCTAAATAGAAACAGAACAAACGTTTTCAGGTGACTGTTGTCTTTGTGCCCTTGCCTCTGCTCTGCCCCTTGTGTTCCTTCAGACCTGCTAATTAAGCAACTCCTTGCATCTGCAGGTCAGTTGATCAGCTAATGGACTCCCTGCTGCCTCCAAGGCCGTATGGCCTGGAGCATAAATAGGAAAATGCAAAGTGCCCTCAGAGAACCAACGGGCTCCTGATCTGAGTTATCCATAGGGTCCTTTCTGAGGAGCGCTGCGGGCAGGTATAGGACACGGAGAGAACAGCCCAGGAGGTTGTACCCCTTATTTATGGCTCCAGCTCTGCAGCATCTCAGAGCAGAAGCCAGTGGAGCTTCCCAGCGTGCCACCATTCAGCTGAGGCCTGGAAATACTGGCAGCTCACGTAAGGTGAGTGTGGAGTGGCTGGTGCTACGGATCGGTCTATAGGCCAGTCCCCTGGCACCCGGCTCCAGCTGGGCTTTAATGGATGAGAACAGAGTGGCAGGAGGGATTTGTGTACGGAGCGTCCCACAGGGAGCTGGGAGCTGGGCCAAGGTGCTAATGGAAGGCCAGATGGGACAGGACTTCTGCAGTATAGACGAGCACCTGAATTAGTCCAGTTATTGCATGGTCTGGTTTAGCTGTTGTTTTCCTTTAACACTTTTATCCAGGATCTTTGAAATGTCTCTGCCAAGAACTTTGTCAAACTCATTACTTTTCATAAACTATTTTTGTTTCCAGTTTTCCAGCCCCTTTTCAATGTTCGTTGAGCAAGTTGTTAGCTGAGCTGAGCCGAGCCAAGCCTAGATTTTTCTGGCATGCATTTCTGCATCTGTGCCATAGAGACCACCCTTGCTGTCTTGAAACATGGGAAAGTTGGGAGCCAGTTGCAGCATGAGTAGTTTTGAGAATCAGGGTCCGCTGCTTTTCTAGAGGCTGGCAAGTGGTTACTGAGAATACCTAAGCTTTTTTCTATCTCGTCTCATTCATCTGCCTCCCCTTTTACCTGCTTTCCAGTTTCAAGGTCATGTTCCCTTTAAACATCTTGTCCTAAAGGCTGGTTTTGCCCTTCTGGCTTCTCTGTCTTTCTCCATGTCAGGAGGGAAATGGAAAGGTAGCTCAATGGCATTTCCTTCTGCTTTCCTTGTTTTCAGTAACTTCCCTTGTGACAATATTTGTGGGGCTGGACTAGTCCAGGCCTGGCACCCCAAAAAGATGCTGAAAGGCCTGTGGCTGCAGCACGTGTCTGGCAGGCTGGGGCTGACATCTGGTGGTGGCTTGAGAAAAGTGCCACTTACTGTCCCTCCCTGCTGTCCCCTCTTGAAAATTCACATGTGAACAGGCTGGCTAAAGTGGGAAGCAGAAATTCCTGTTTCTAGCTATGCTGAGAGGACCGGGATGGCTTCTTAGCCAGACCCTGTAACCCAAGTAACTCAGCAGTGTGATCTTTACGGAATTGAGATGCAGCCTCAGAGCAACATTGGGTGAATGATGTGGATAAACATGTCAAACGCCAGACGTAAATTGTTTTAATCCCAATGGGATTTCAGTCTAGTGAAGGCACATACAAAATATGTTACAAATATGTATATTTCTCTGCATATCTTGAATTAGATGGGAGTTTGAGACTCAAATGCTCTGAACCTTTTAAGCTGTAATCAAATATTCTTAGAGAATTAGGGCCTGAATTTTCTCTTTTAAACTGTGGTGGTGATCAAACGTAGCTATCTGAACGGAATGAGAAATAAAAGTGCAATTGCTGGCTCCTTTGATGTTGAATTAGGACATATTAACCAGACTTGGTTTCTCTGTGTATGGTGTTTTTCTTTTATGATCAAGTAATTTACAGAGGAATTTACATATTTTAAGATCAAATATATAAAACAAAGAATAGCAGAAACCAGAATAGCTAAATTGAAAGGAAAATGTGTGTTATGCCTGTGAGGGGAAGAAAAAAAAAAAAAAAAAAAAAAAAAATTTTCCTGTGCTACCTGAAATGTGTCAGATGTTTAAAATAAAATTGTTGCTTTATTCTATATTGGTACTACCAATTAATTCAGAAGAGCCATCTTTTCCCACTCTGCTTTGGCTTATCTACTTTTCATGTCATGACCTTTTCATGTCATGACTGTTGCTAATAATAATTAATTGTGCAATTGCAGTGCGCTGTCTTGATAATGAATTCACATTTTGTGCATTTACACAAAATTAAATGCAAATATTTATCATTGTGTTCACAGCTGAAAGTAGTGGAGTGACCAGGGGAAA